CGCGCCGCCGCCCGAGTCCCTCCCGCACCGCGCGCGGGGAGCAGCGCTGCTGCCAACGGGGAGAGGGCGGGGGCCGCCTCTGGCATCCGGGTCCCCTCCAGCATCCTCTCCTGCCGAGCGCCCGACCCCGCTCCCTGTGGCGCTGCCTTCTCCGTGTAGCAAGAGCAGGCTGGGTCTCCCTGGGCAGCAGCCCGGCACTGAGCAGCCTGACTCCCATTGCGTCCTGGACCATGAGCCTCTGCCCGCCCAGCACTGTCTCCTGCCCCCCCCCCCCCGTTTAGAGGTAGCAAAGGGGGGAGGGGCTAATAGTGGAGCAGTGACTCCACGACTTGATAAGCTTAGGTTTATCAGGTAGTTGACTAGACTAGTCACATCCCTGTGGGAGAGGCACTTCTCCCTCCATGGCGGTCATGGAGGGGGCAGCGCCTCTCCCACTGCTTGGTAGCTCTGGGCAAGTCCTGAGCCCCAAGCTGGGTGAGACCCATGAAGCAGCTGTGTGGGGTTGTACTGCTGTGCAGCCTACAGGAAATGCTCCTGGCCATCTGACACTAGGGCTACAGGTTGTGAGGTGGCTGCGGTTTGGATGAAGGGGAGGCATGGGCCACTTCCGGCAACAGGAACCTTGCCCGTGTGCAGAGGTATCCAGAGCTCTGCCTCTGGCTTTTCCATCTCTTACTGGTGCCCTGCACAAGGACATGCTGGCTTATTTTCACTTTTGCTGTAAACCATGTATATAATGAAAACTATTTCAAGCACCCATAATTCCAGCACCTGTGAGGGAAACCCCTGTTTTAATTATGCCAGTGCTCTCTGACTTTTTGTGTGCAGGTGGGATGTCTTCCAGAGGTGGAGTGTCCTCATACTGCCCTCACTCTGTCCCAGTGAGTCAGAGCAGCTGGCTTCACTTAGGCTAGGTCTACACTATACCTGGCAGCTTGACTTAAGGTATAGAACTCCAGCTACATAGACTGGAGTAGGCATATCTTAAGCCAAACTTGATGGTGGTCCCCATGGGAGGAGGCCAACAGGAGCAAATGCTCCTGTTGGCTTCCCTAATTCCTGGCAAGAACAGGAGTACTGGAGGCCAGTGGAGGGCATCTTCTGAATTTGATTTAGTGAGTATTAACTAGACTCACTAAATCAAACTTTGGAAGATCAATCACAGCACCATCAGTCTACCTTGGAGTGAAGATGTGGCTTCAGTTGCCTGTGGTTGGGCTTTTCTCCTCTTGGCTCCCTGCTCTGCTTTACTTCTGGTGTCCCAGCTGCCAGCCATGTGTCATCCCTGGGAGACTGAATGATCCACCTGCTATTAAAATGTTAAATTCAAGAAGAGTTTGTGATCTCTTTTTTCTGTAATTTGTTTTTTTTTTTAGCAAGGTCTTTACATCAGAAAGCTATTGGCTAAACACAGGTTAAAGCTTTGGTAGTATGGCTAACCTGCCCTCATTTTTGTAAAACTTAAAATACCTCACATTTTGGTAGCTAAATATTTTCTTTCTTTTCTCAGACTAGAAAAGTAGTTGCTACACTGAATGGTCACACTGGCAGAGTTAATTGTGTGCAGTGGGTTCACAACCTAGATGGCTGTAAGTACTAAACAATCTGTTCACAAATACTACATTTGTTCTGTGTTAGAACAGGATTCTTATTTTTCACATGTTCATCTGCAAACTGTTGAATCATGGATCCTGTCAACTTTCAATCTTGTCAGTTTAGAAAATTGAATTTAGTTTATTGTGTATCTGCCTCTGAATTTGCTTATCAGTACTTCGCTATTTACAAATATGTGGTGCTTGCTTCTATTGCTTGGCAAAAGACCCATGCAAATGAGAAACACAGTAGGGTCCTATTCTGCAAATTCTGCAGTTTGGCTTCACTTCAGACTTAACTTGGGTTATTGGCACCTGGGTTAATCTAGTTGGGGTTTGAATGTCTACTGTGCACTGGTTTTGTGCTCATTCTAAATTTGTTAAAGCGGTAGGGTGGGTACTGCTGTCCTTCAGCATAAATAGTCCACCTTTTCAAGAAGCAGTAACCAGTGCTGTTTACACTGGGAGTTACATCAGTATAGCTGCATCTCTCAGTATCTTCAGGGGGTCTTCACATCCTAAACTCAAAATTCCAGTCATCTGAAGAAGTGGGCTGTGCCCATGAAAGCTCATGATACCATCTACATGTTTTGTTAGTCTATAAAGTGCTACCAGACCATTTGTTGTTTTTTAGTTAATCTCTCAGTATAGTTCAACCTTATGGAAACAGGTTGATCTGAGCAATGCAATTTGAGTTAGTAGCATAACTCAAATCGATGTAGCTTAAATCTACTTACCACGGGGTCCACACCGCGCTCGGTCAACAGAAAAAACTCCCTTTGACTCTCCTCACTCTTCTCTTTCTGGGGCATACTCAAGTCAGGAGAGTAATCAGTAATTGATTTATGGTGCCTCTACCAGTGCTGCATTGATCACTGCCCCATCAATCTGGCTTATAGTGAAGATATTCCCTCAGGGATATATGGTTTTCACACAGCTGACAGACACAGCTGTGCAGCTATAAATTCCCACTGTAGACCAGCCCTGAGAGAACTCTGCAGTGAATACAAATTATTAATCTAATGTATAACTTTATTAATTTGAATAATACTGTTGATTTTAATGGGGCTAATAATTTGAATACAATTACACATAAGTTAAGTGTTTGCAGAATTAAAGCCACTACAGGGAAGTAAGGAAAGGGCTATACTGAAAGTGCTGTGCAGTACACAAAGTAAATCTAGAAAAAATAATTATTTACTAATCTATGTTGTAATTATTTTGGGATGGAGCCTTTGATAAAACCTGCAGAAGGGGGACTTATGATCAGGAAATGTCATCACAGATATTCTTCGCCTTATCCTACTGGGGCAAGGTTTGTTTCTTTCTGCCCAGAGGAAAAAGCATCCAGAAAACTGGTGGATCCTTGGGGATCTGCTGGAAATTAGAGCTACACATCCAGAGTTTTGGCCTTAGTAGCCATTGACCCTTGACTGTGCAGCTTTATGGGAACTATTTTGCAAAGCTACTTGGGGAATACTCAAAATTAAGACCATAAGAGCTATTAGTAACTCTAGTGTATCTTATGCTGTTTCCCTTTTAGCCCAGCACATCTTATACCACCCAGCCCCTTGCTGCTCCACTCTTCCCCCAGCTCTGCCACTCAATCCTTTGTGAAGCCTGTGGACCAGTCAGAATGCCCTCTGAAGAGTGGGGTGTGTGGATTGGGGTAAAGGGGGTGAGTGACTCATGGTGTCACTGGGCAGATGAGCTCCACTTCTCCATGCTAAGAGAGATGTGTGCATGGAGGATACTTTGCACTTGGATCTCAGGGTAGTGATCTGAAACCTCTAAGTGTGACTTGTAAGGTCTGCAGGTTGAAAGTTTCAGATACAAACATGACTTTATTTTGAGCTAATGACAGAGCATGTTAAATGATTATTTTTCATCTACTCCTTGCTCGACACCTGCTTTCCAGTTGGTTGAGAAGGAAAGTAGATACATTGCTATGGGCAGGGGTCGACAAATTATGGAAAACCCTACTTGCCAGACAAAAAAGGGACTCGCCACCCTCCCCCACAAAAAGCGTTTTTTTATAATGGCATAAATTCCTAATAAGAATAATAGTAATTACTAATAAGTTATTAATAAATATCACCCAAGTTATTAATACATATCTTGTAAAGGTTTGTTCCTGCTTTTGGCACTGTCAACACAGCAGGAAGTCTGAGAAAGAGCACTCTTCCCAACTTTCCTTCCTCCTCGTACAATAAGGATTACGGGAGCTGGAGTAAGAAGTCCTCCAGGTCCACATTATGTCAAAATAACTGCTTGCTGTGTAGATGAGGACTATGTTATTTTGGAATATGTGTAGCATATTCCAAAGCATAGCCTTACCGAATGGCTGTAGCATCAGCACCTTCAAGATGAAAAACAAATTAGAAAGAATAAACATTTTTTTAATTATGCTGTAGGCATTCTTCTACTATTACATCCCTTCAGTCCGATCCCAAGAGAAGAAGCAGACACTCTGCAAATCCTATTAGCAGCTGTAAATGTTTGGTACGCAGGCGTGTACATTTCTTTGCTACTGGCTCTGCCCCCATTCCCCTGTGCCCTCACAGCTGTCTTGCTCCATCCCTGCCTTCCTCATGCCCACCCCTTCTTTCAAGCCTTCTCCCAGCACTTCCCCCTCCCCTCTCTAGCCCCCAGTGCCCTTACCTTCTCCTCTCCCAGCATCACCCTATCCCCCTTCCCACTGACACCTCCCCTCCTGCCCTTTTCCTCATTGTCTGCACTTGGCCCCCTGGAATTTGTCTCTTCTCCACCCTGTCCCTTGGTGCCTTCTCCTTTCTGCTTCTTCTTGTCCTGACTTTGTTTTCATTTTTGTCCCAGCATTTTAGCCCTATCAATAGCAAATAGCATTTTCATTCGTTTTTTTCCATAAAGGCAAAGGCGCTTCAAGTGAACTTCCCCTTTCACTCCCTTCTGGGTCACAGCAGCTTTTTCCCTTCCCTGTCCAGCCCCTCTCTATGGACAAGTACCCTTCACTCCCAACCCACAGGGAGTGCAGGGACAGCCCAGAGCCAGAGGGGTGCAGGGAACAGTGGGGGGTAAGGGGGTGGGGTGGGGAACGGGAGGCACAGAGCCAGAGGGACGCAGCGATCGGGGGGAGCAGGGTGCGGTGGAGGCAAGGGGAATGGGAGGGGCAGAGGGATCGGGGTCTAGGGCCAGTGCAGGGAATGGGCAGCACAGACCTGGGGGGGCAGGGATTGGGGGGAGCAGGGTGCGGGGTGCAAGGGTGGCGCAGAGCCAGAGGGTCGCAGGGAAGAGGGAGAGCAAGGGGTCAGGGGAGCAGGGGCAGCGTGGGGAACGGGCGGCGCGGAGACAAAGGGGGGCTGGGGCAGTGGCAGGACTGGAGCCAGCGGGGTGGGCCCTGGCTGAGTCGTGCGCTGTAGCCCTTTAAAATCAGCGGGGCCATGTCACGCCAGCATCCTGGCATCCTGCCCTGCCTCCTCGCACTGGAGCTGCACGGAGGCAGCCTGGTGGGAAGAATCGCCGCACTTCCACCTTTCCAGCGGTGCTTTGCTCCTCCGCTGCCCAGCGGATCGGATGGGGCCACGCTGCCCGTAGTGCGGGCTTCCGCCAGCCCGTCACAACAGCCCACCGGGCCAGTCCGCCCCTGCACTCGCCAGCTGGTAAAATCTACTTGCCGCGGGCGAGTGTATTTGTCGAGCCCTGGCTATGGAAAATATTTCTGTTCTTCACCGTACATACTTAGTGCACAGTCAGTTTCATTGTTTTTTAGATGGTCATTTGCTTTTCTTGTCTTTACCTATAACATGTGCATTCCTGTGCGAAGAGGGAACTTTCATGCTTTTCCTCAGATCCTACAAGAAGGCAGGTTTAGGGTTTTGGGAACAGTTTAGTCCTCGTTGCTGAGAGAAGCATTATATGCCACACAGGGAGGCAGAAAAAATGCAACTTCTATAAAATGGATTTTTTTTAAAAACGAAGTAGGACACAGTATTTAAGGAATTCTTTATTGGCAAATGTGAAATTACTGTTCTTTAAAAATAAATAAAAATCATAACGTATAAAGTGCCTCATCCAGGACCCACTAAAATCAAAGGGTGACATTTAAACAGGCTCTACATTCTGTACCCTGGGGCAAGAGTGACGAGAGTTCATTTGGTTTCTCTTCTGAATACCTTTGTATTTTTTTTAATCTTATAAACCATTGGTAAACTCTAAATTTGTTGAAGTTGAATTGACAGATATATTTTGAAAGTGTGATTTACTGTAATGGATTACATGGTCGTGCTTCCAGACTGGTCTTGGTGTTTGGAGTTTTATGTACTATTGTTTTGCAGTTTTTAACATCAGAGGTCGTCTTGTACGCCGGAATATACGGTACTATTGTTTTGCAATACATGTAAAGAATTGTAGCATGCAATATGTAAGTTTGCGATTGTTATGATCTGCCAAAAAAGTCTTCTGAAATGGAAATGTTAGGAAACATATCTGAAAGTATTGTTCTTGAAAGTATAGGAATCACAATGTCCTTTTTTGAACCTTTTAAAAATACATATATTTCTGCCTTCAGAATTAAGGCTATGTGTGTTTGTAGCTTATGGAGGGAGTGTAGTGACTTCATCATTAAAATTGCATCTAGATTTCTGTTATAAGCCTAATTTTCTATTTTTTCCCTTTCTAACTGTTGACTGGAGAAAGTAATGTTTTTTTTTTTCTGAGAACTTTCATGGTTAAAATAGATGAGGAAAAATTATTTCCTCAGTTTGGTAATTAAATTACAGTATGAAGAAGTGGGAACATTGCATTATACTAAATTCGTTGTACAATTAATATGGACACACAGGAGAAGGAACGCAAGACAAAATAGGGAAAAAACAGGTTAAAAAAATTCAGTATTAAATCTATTCAAGTCAGCAGGGCTTGATGAGACCTGTAGTAAGAGGACCAAAAAGTGCCGTCATGGCCAAACAACATTTTTTTTTAAAAAAAAGTTGTTAGATGCCAAAAAGCAGCCTTTAAAAATTAGAGGTTAAATCTTAGGAAAATAGAAAGGAGCATAAGCTCTGGCAAGTCAAGTGCAAAGATATAATTAGGCAAGTCAAAAGAGATTTGGAAGAGTAGCTAGCTAGAGACTTAAATGATCAGCAAAAAATTAAATATAACAAGCAAAAAGCCTGCCAAATCAGTGGGGCCACTGGATGATGGCGGTGCTAGAGGAGCTTTTAAGGAAGATAAGGCCACTGGAGAAGCTAGATGAATTCTTTGCATTATTTTTCATAAAGGGTGTGAGGGATATCTCCACACCTAACCCACTCTTAGATGATAAATATTTGGAATTGTCCACCAGCTCAAGGTGTCAGTAGAGGAGGTTTTGGAACAAGATTAATTAAATAATAGTAAGTCACCAAGACTGGATTCTATTCACTCAAGAGTTCTGAAGGAACTTAAATATTAAATTGAAGTGCTACTAATGGTGTTATGTAATTTATCATTTAAACTGGCTTCTGTAGTTGCTGGTTGGAGGATAGCTAATGTGACACCAGTTTAAAAAAAAAAAAGACACTGGAGGTGGTTACCAGCTAGGAAGATCAACTTCAGTAACAAGCAAATTGGTTGAAACTAGGGATGTTAATGCTTAATTCATTAACCATTAGGGGCTGGAGCAGCCCCCAACTGTGGTGGGCCATACCTGGGCATGCTGCTCGTAGGGACGCTCCAGCCCAGCCAGAGCAGTATTGTCTGCGGTGGGAAAGCTGTTCCAATCTAGTTGGGATGAGCTTATCAGTTTTGGCATGAGCTTATCGGTTACCGTAATGGTTACTCAGCAGCTCCCAGGGAGAGCTGCTATCCCAAGCTTCTGCCTCTGATACAGAACCAGCGGTGTAGAGCGGCAGCAAGCTACCTGGGACTGCAGTGTCAGGTGTGAGCTGACTGCTTCCCTATGCTGCAGACTCTGCAGTATAAACTTTATACTGCAGAGCCCTTGGTGAAGCTGGCTCCCTGGGAATGGGGCCGGGAGCTGGCTCCTGGCATGCACTAGCTGCCGGCCCTGCTCCCAAGGAGCTGGCTGCAATGCAGGCTCTGCAATATAAACTTTATACTACACAGCCTGCAGTGTGTAACCATGTAAACACTAAGATTTTTAATGGTTATGTGGTTACCTAATTTACTGCTTTTTAACATTTCTAGTATAAGGTGAAATTAAAAAGAAAGTGACTGTTCTGCTTGGAAAAGAAGAGACTTCTAAGAGGAGGTACAATAGGACTATAGAATAGTGAATTTTGTGGAGGAAGTAAAGAAGTGCTGTTTACTCCTTCACATAACACATCTGGGGCCACCCAATGAAATTAGTAGGCAGCAGGTATAAAGAAAAAAAATTCACACAGTGCACAGGTAACCTGTGGAACTCATTACCATGGGATCTTGGGAAGGCCAAGCTATAATAGGGTTTTAAAAAGGGTTAGATAATTTCCTATCTGGAGGATAGGTCCATCAGTGGCTATTAGCCAAGATGGTCAGGGATGCACCCTCAGGAACTTGACTATCAGAGAGAGGCAGCAATAGGGGGAGGGAGCGGGATCCATCTTAAAAGCCGGTTCCCCCAGCACTGTCTCTGCAGGAGCAGGGGAGACAAAGAGCAGTGGGCAAATGGTGCGAGTGGGGATTGCAACAGTCCTGCTCACAGCCCTTCCGACTGCTGCTCCTCTCCCTTTGAAATGTACAAGAGCCACCCGTGGCTCTTGTGAATTTCAATGGGAGAGAGGCAGTGGAAACCCACTGGGTCCCTCCTTTTGACACAACTCCAGGTGACAGTCTCATAAGCAAACAGGGGACATGTGGTTTAGATGACTTTACTGTAAGGTGGGGGCACAACTGGTTGAAAGACCATACTCAAAGAATAGCAAAGAGAGTTAGCAATGATTTACTCTGAAATTGGGAAGAGGTGTCTAGTGAGGTCGTACAGGGATCAGTCTTTGCTCCAGTGCTAGTCAATATTTTTATTAATGATATGGCTGATTGAGTAGAGAATATGCTTATAAAATTAGTAGATGACAGCAAGTGGGAGGGGTTGCAAGCATTTTGGAGGACAGATTTAAAATTCAAAATGACCGTGACAAATGGGAGGATTTGTCTGAATTTGACAAGAGAAAATTCAAAAAAGAGACGTGAAAAGTACTTTACTTAGGCAAGAAAAATCAAAGGAACCGTTACAAAATGGGGGCTAACTATGTAGACAGTAGTAATGCTGAATAGGTTCTGTGGGTTATTGTGGAACACAAACTAAATGAGCCATCAATTTGATGCATCATTGTATTAACTGGAGCCTTATATGTAAGACACAGGAGGTAACTGTCCTGCTCTATTTGGTGGGGCCCCATGTTGAGTACTGTGTCCAGCTCTGGGCACTACAATTTAGGAACAACGTAGACAAATTGGAAGGAGCCCAGAGTAGAGCAGCATAATCCCAACATATGGGGAAAAGTTGAAAAAACTGGGCATGTTTAGTTTTGAGAGAGAGCGACTGAGGGGCGACCTGACAACAGTCTTTAAATACGTTAAGCTGCTCATGAAGAGGATGGTGATCAATTGTTCTCCATGTCCTCTGAAGGTAGGACAAGAAGTAAAGGGCTTAATCTGTAGCAAGGGATCTTTAGTTTAAATATTAGGACGAACTTTTTATCTGTATAAGGGTAGATAAACTATGGAGTAAGGTTCTGGGGGAAGGATCCTGGAGTCCCCATCATTGGAAGCTTTTAAAAGCAAGTTGGATAAACTCTTGTCAGGGATGGTCTAGTTTTACTTGCCCTACCACGACACAGAAGGCTGGACTCGGTGACTTCTTGAGGTTGCTTCTAGCCCTATATTTCTGATTCTATAAATCGGTGTCTTAAAAGACTCTCCAAACCAAAAAACAAAACAAAAAAAACCCAACAACCTTGAATTAAATTACAGTTAAGTTTCTTGAGTGCATTTTAAGAAGCACGCCATTGACCGCATTCCTATAAAACTTTGCAAGCATTAAAGTTTGTGGATTTTTTTTACATATATATTCAATGGTTTTCCTTGTTTTGAACAGCACTTAGCATTCTTAGTTGTACCAGCTCTCATGTCGTTAGGGAAATGGATTCTATAATACATATCAAGTAGCTTTTTCTAGTGACTAAAGTAACTGTTATTTTATAGTAGCAATAAAAATAGGAGATGTTCATGTAATACAAATGTAAACCTTTTTTTTAGCTGCTGAGACAGAATTAATTTCTGGAGGTTCTGATAAGCAGGTCATTGTATGGAAAACACAGAATAATCAGGTAAGCAGAAATATTCATATTGTCTTTTTTAAACTATCAATTTTTATTTTTAAGTATAGTACCCATGAAATATTTAGTAAGTTAAATTACTTCTGTCTAAATCTCGGAACTCTTTATTCATGCCTTTTTATCTGACCTAGAGTATTGCAACTCTTACGTGCCTCCTCCAGGGCTGTTTTAGAACTTCTGCATTTAGCAGAAAGTTGCTATCTTCTGCCACATGATTACATTTAATCCTATTCTTGAATATCTCTTCTGCTGTCTTGAGTGATTTAAAATTGGCTTCATTTTTAAAAAAAATGCATATATTTATCTAGCTTGTTTCAGATTTCACTCTCCATCATCAGAACATATCTTTCCCATAATCTCTTCACCCTTAGTGTGAGACCCAATTTATATAGTTCTGTTTGTCAGGAACAGCATTTCTGTATCTCTCTTCACTCTTCTCTAGTTGCATCTGGTGAATCCACAACTGAAATAGAGCATTTACATAAAAGGAACCTTATTACGAGAGGAATAGAGAAATTGGAAGGAGTGTGGAAAAGGCAGTTTGGAGGCTGAAAGATTTTAATACTTCTTGGCTAGGAAGTTAAACCTATCACAGTCTTGAAGTGCATTATAGAAGTTCGAAAATTCTAATGTAGTCACTATCACTCTTCCGTTTGGTTGAAAAAGGAGGATTGATGCTCCTCCTTCTCAGTGACGCTCAGAAAAACTGTCAGGAACATTGTATCTGTACATTTGCATCTAGCTACCATACATATGTTGATATTTTCACCCAGCATGAGGAGGGCTGTGATCAAAATGTATCATGTATTTTGCATAAAAGTACAGAGTGACATTAAATTTACAAAAGCAATTGAAGGAAGGTTTTAAAGCAGTTTGACAGATTGCAGGCTGATGGAAGTCTTAATTTAGCTAACTTACCAAAAACTGAAACTGGAACCACAGATATAATAATAATAATAGTAATAAATAATACTGGTTGGACCTCCCTGGTCCGGCACCCTCGGGACCTGAGTTTGCCAGACCAGGGGAGGTCAACCCTGGCCCGCTGCTACCAAGTTCCACACTCTCCCAGGGGGGCCGCTCGACTGTTAGCTGCCGAGCTAGTCTTCAGTCACCTGGCTCCCCTCCCGGCCCCGGCTGCTGCTTGTGCGCTCTCTCTGGTTCAGCACCATCCATGGTCCTGTTGGACCACAGATGTTGCTGGAACAGAGAGTCCTGGATTAGAGAGGTCCTACCTGTAATAAATAAAGGTCTGAGATTCTACAGTGCCTTTCTCTGTCTTAGCTAGTATGACTGATCACAAAAATAAAGTTCAATGGTTGAGCTCAGTATATGAAGAAGAGGCTGAAATATGGCTGATGGACCATAAGCCAGACTGTGTTCCTGATCTTCTAGCACTTAGACTTTATTCCAAATTATATGTGTAAAGAAGATTGTTGCAGTTGTTTGCATCACAGCGGTAGAATATAGCGCAGTGTTTCTTAAACAGAGTTCAAAATGGCTGCCCTTAAAGGGGCAGGTGACCTTTTTTTGGGGGGGGGGATCAATAACTCCCCCCAGACTCTTTTTTTTTTCCCCCTCAACAAAAAAAATCCTTGGTGTTACTCATAAAAACAATTATTTGGTGTTCCTCGGTCTTAAAAAGTTTAAGAGACACTGATATAGTGGGTTTAAGTCGTAGAAGGTTTAACAATTGAGTTCAGATCTTTGTCAGTTTTCAAAAGACCTACACTGTGTTGAGCTAGATCTGTGTCAATCAAGCACTTCTAGTATATTTGAATTGGTTTTCATGAAATTGTATAAATGGAAGTTAGATTGGTTTAAATGCTAGTGTAGACCTGCCCCCAACTATACTCACTGCTTCAAGTCTCAGTCAGTAATGTACTCCGTATTCTTATGAGCCTTTTGGAAAATAAACTTCCCTGATACGTTTTGCACTTTTCATTAACTAGCTTTTTCTAATGATTTTTTATGACTTTTGTAATCTGGCAAAGTTTTCCTTTTAAGAAATACATATACTGTAATCTAGTTAGCTATTGCCCCCTGCCTCCCTCCCCCCCTTCCCCCGCCAAGCTGAATGTAAGCAAATCTTGGTAAGTTAGCCCACATAAGTTGTTAGTTTTAATATGTAATTATTAGAGCCCTCTTCTAAACATTTACAGGAAATTAAATGTCCACATACCATTAAGTTTCCTGTTTTCTGTTAAGTTTATATTTATATTTTGTGTAATCTCATGTAACTTTCTGTCATGTTCAGCTCGTGAAATGCATTCATCTTGAAGGCCATTCAGAAGCTGTTTGTGCTGTGGATGCTGTTTACCAGACAGATGAGTCAAAGACAGATTTAAAGCTACTAATAGCTTCTGCTGCTTCTGATTCTACCGTCAGAATCTGGTCCAAACAAGGTTCAGAAGGTAAATTTCTTTACAATGTGATAGCTTGAAGACTGACTGTAAAATTGTATGAATGTATGCATGTTAAATATCTCTGTTACACTGAAGTCTCTGAAGAATCTTTGCTTAAGACAGGGTGTGAGCTGGATTCTGTTTCTTGAGAGCAGTCAGACCTATTCACTGAAAGCTCTGGGGTAACTCAAGGCCTTATATGCCCTGCAGAACCATTGCCATTGATGTAAAATAGAACCCATCGTGGGTCCATGCTGAATTTACAAGGATGTCAGTTAGAAAAACACCTTTCTCACATACCTTTTACGTCCACCAGTGTGAATTGTTTGGCATTCCCGTTTTTCTTGGAGCATGGGTGCAGACTAATAATTTTTGGCAGCATGCTGGGGCTAGAACTGCACCTCTTTTGGAATTCTCCAATATTCTTTGCCTTTAATCCCATGCAGGGGGCATACTGAGAGTTTCTGCTTTTGGCAGGGCTTTGGGGCTTTTTTTATGCCTGAAAAGAAAAATGAGGTAAAAGCAATGTTCCTGACTTGAAACAAAACAAAACAAGCAAGCTTCCCCAAACCATCCACCCCCAAAGATTACTAGGCTTCTTTTAAAAAGGGTTTCTTGGAGCCATCTCTTGATGAATGGATTTTATCTAATGGGGGCTATTGCGGGGACAGAGCTCATTTTGCACTTAGGCAGTGCCTGAGTGGAGCAAGAAATATGTTTAGGCTCCTGGGTATTGCAGCTGAGGCCACATGGATCACAAGACCTCAGGTGCACAGGATCTCCTTTGACACAGCAGAGAGTGGCCAGGAGGCATAGACAAAGCTAGGGGTTTGTTCTATCCTCCCCAGCCAGGTAGCATTCTGGGCCAGCTCAAGGACAAGTTCTGTATTGGGTAACTTCATTGTTTTTGGAGCTGTGCTCTCCTCTGCAGTGGGAATGATGGGTTTCTTACGTTAAGATGATTAGCCCCATTTTACAGACAGCTACACTGGTCTGGTATGCTGTGTGAGATGTTGGTTTTCCTTATTAGAGATCTAAATTTTATTCCCAGCTTATGTAACCTTTCATTGATACCTTGCTTAATAATAATGATTGTGAAGGTTACAGAATTGTTAACATTTAATCAAGAGTGATTCTAGAACTTGTAATTTCCTGGTTCTTAGTTGTGGGGTTTTGTTTTATTAGGCAGATCTTAGAAGTCCCAATCAGAGATTAGCGCCCCATTGTAATAAGCCTCGTGTACAACAAAAAGTCAGTCTGCCCCAAGATCTTAGTCTTAATAGACAAGCTAATTAAATTGTAATAGATGACCTATAAACAAAATGTTGGGGTACTAAACTTGATGGTTATTTTCATAGCGGTTTCTAGTTCCCTTAAACTTATCTTTTTTTGGTAATGAAAATTGTTAATCAAACAAAACAATGTCCTGTCCTCTCCCCCTACAGTGTTAATTTGAGTCCAACATTCTTTACTCTAATTTTTCAGCTAAATGCCTTCAGATCCTGGAATTTGGAAATGGACTTGTCATGGATGTCTGCTTATCATTCTTGCCTGGCAGTGATAGTAAGTACAGCTACACATCATGAATACTTAGCCCAGAAGAAATGGTACATTTAAAAAGAAGTGAAAAAGTGTGTTTGCAGTTCGCTAATTTTGGACACACAGAGCATAGGAATACTCACATCTTAATAAGAAACCACCCCTGGCTTTACATCTGAATAGATTTAATTTGGAGATTAAACAATGTTGTAGTTCAAACAATGTTGCTTAGTTTTAAGGCTTCCAAAACAGTCTTGATAGAGCATATATTCTATGTTGGTGGATTTTTTAGTTGCATTGTGAAGCAGAAGCCAGTTATAGATTCATAAAGCTAGGGCATGATATAGCATCCCCCAGCAATGGTAGGAAGGAGTTAAGCTCTCTTGAAAGTGAGGAACAGTTCCTGCAGCACCTTGAAGCTAGGGATGTCAATGTGTAGCTGACTACACAATTAACCGATAAGCCAAGGCTTGTTGGTTAATCCTGTTGACTACACGCATCCTCCCCCCTCCTGCAGAGCAGAGAGTGAGGGGGTTGGGTGGGAGCTGCTACATGCAAGGAGCTGGCTTTCAAGCCGGCTCTCCGTGCGTTCTGTCTCCTTGGATCTGCCTGCCTCCTTCCTTGATTCCTCCTACAGAGGTGGGGAGGAGGGGGAGGCAGGAGCCAGTGCTCAGAGGGAGCCGGCTTAAAAGCTGGATCTCCTTCAACACTGGCTCCACTTTCCCCCCTTTTCCCTGAATTATCTGCACACGGGGGGTAGGGTGGGGAGGGGTAGGGGAGGCTACTGCAGAGCTTGCCATGGATTGAGGCTGCTCCGCGAAAGCAACTCCTGTCCATGGGGAGTGGTCCAAGCTCTCCACAGACAGAGGCTGCTCCAGCATCTCATGAAGCAGCATCTGCCCGAAGAGAGCTTGGACCCCCATGGAGAGGGGCTGCTGCTGTGGAGTAGCCACCGTCTGCAGAGAGTTTGGGTGCCCTGCGGACAGGGGCTGCTGCCTCTGAATCAGGTATCAGAGGCAGGGATCTTATCCACTGTGCCACTGGAGTAGCCCCCAATGACCCTACCTTCAGGGCCCCCCTTATCCTTCCTGTGTTCCAAGGGTGCCAGTTCCATTCCTTGGGAAGTTGGTGGTGGCTGCCCCCAGGGGGGGCGGGGAGCAGGGATGTAAGTGATTGTGTGGGAAGTAGGGATGTAAGTGACTAGTCGAGTGAGTACTCAACTAGTGTCTTCATGCTCTCCCCCACCTCTGTATCAGAAGTGGCAAATGTATCAGAAGTGGGAGCAGGAGCTGGTGCTGGGGAGAGTCGGTTTAAAAGTGCAGAGCTGCTGTAGGAGCGCTCCTTCCATCCATTTATTGACTACCCGATTAGTTAATTAGCTGATACTTAACATCCCTAGGATGAAGCTGGTTTTTAAACTGGCTGATACAAAGGCATCTCTGCAGGATGTCAGGTTTTGTTGTTGCTAACTATTATCTGATATTTGTATTACAGTAGCTTCTAGAAAACCTATTGTGCTAGGCAGAACCTGAGCTAGATTGTAAACTTTGGGGCCAAGACTAAGTAGACAAGATAGAAAGAGAATGTGTAACTGAGCTATAAGCAGAGTGAACAGTGTGATAGTCTGCCAATGTCATGTGAGTTGATGAATGTTTTTGGGGTGACTTTTGTTGGGATTATATTAGCTAACTAGGCATAGAAAGGAAAAAAGACATTGCAGGGAGTGGGGTAGGGATGTGAACGATTAGTTGACTATCCAATAAGCGAATGGTTATCGGATAGTCAACACACAAGTCAACTAACTGCTTCCCCCTCTTGCTGCCTCTATTAGAAAGAAACAGCAAGAAAAAGGGAATGGAGTGCTTCAAAGCAGCAGTGTCGTGTGGAACTCAGGGCCAGACCCCGGGCTTTATGCAGCGCTGCCACTTTGAAATGCCACTTCAGTCTCCTGCTAGCCCCAGGCTGCCTGCAGAGCTTTCACCTTTCAAGTGTAGCAACAGCTACACTTCAAAGGCGGAAGTGTCCTTATTGACTAATCAGATAGTCAATGCAAATTGCATTGACTGTTTGTTTAGCCAATTAATCGAAATTTTACATCCCTAGAGTGGAGTAAGATGATCAGAAAGGAGGTTGAGGAGGGCAAGGAGATAGTGGCAGAGAAAAGTGGGATGAGAGATGTTATATGAGTGTAAGGTGCAGTGTGATGAAAGTGGGAGGGAGTTCAATTAAACTGCCATATCAGCATAAAGAAGAGAATGTCCAGAGTAAAAATTGTAGAAAGCAGGTGGGCATATCACTGACGGCATCATAAGTTTGTGATGTGGCTGCTTGATGCTGCTTCTGCTGGCTAATAGTGGATCCTTTGATGAATTTGTCCATCCTAAACTCATGCGAGTGGGGAAGGAGGGAAGAGGCTGAATGGAGTCTAAGCGTAGGGATAAAAATGAGGCTTCAGAGGTAGGTACCTTATCCACTGTGACACTGAAGGAGCCCTCCAACTACCCTACCTTCAGGGCCCCCCTTATCCTTCCTGTGTTCCAAGGGTGCCAGTTCCATTCCTTGGGAAGTTGGTGGTGGCTGCCCCCAGGGTGGGCGGGAAGTAGGGATGTAAGTGATTGTGTGGGAAGTAGGGATGTAAGTGACTAGTCGAGTGAGTACTCAACTAGTGTCTTCATGCTCTCCCCCACCTCTGTATCAGAAGTGGCAAATGTATCAGAAGTGGGAGCAGGAGCTGGTGCTGGGGAGAGTCGGTTTAAAAGTGCAGAGCTGCTGTAGGAGCGCTCCTTCCATCCATTTATTGACTACCCGATTAGTTAATTAGCTGATACTTAACATCCCTAGGATGAAGCTGGTTTTTAAACTGGCTGATACAAAGGCATCTCTGCAGGATGTCAGGTTTTGTTGTTGCTAACTATTATCTGATATTTGTATTACAGTAGCTTCTAGAAAACCTATTGTGCTAGGCAGAACCTGAGCTAGATTGTAAACTTTGGGGCCAAGACTAAGTAGACAAGATAGAAAGAGAATGTGTAACTGAGCTATAAGCAGAGTGAACAGTGTGATAGTCTGCCAATGTCATGTGAGTTGATGAATGTTTTTGGGGTGACTTTTGTTGGGATTATATTAGCTAACTAGGCATAGAAAGGAAAAAAGACATTGCAGGGAGTGGGGTAGGGATGTGAACGATTAGTTGACTATCCAATAAGCGAATGGTTATCGGATAGTCAACACACAAGTCAACTAACTGCTTCCCCCTCTTGCTGCCTCTATTAGAAAGAAACAGCAAGAAAAAGGGAATGGAGTGCTTCAAAGCAGCAGTGTCGTGTGGAACTCAGGGCCAGACCCCGGGCTTTATGCAGCGCTGCCACTTTGAAATGCCACTTCAGTCTCCTGCTAGCCCCAGGCTGCCTGCAGAGCTTTCACCTTTCAAGTGTAGCAACAGCTACACTTCAAAGGCGGAAGTGTCCTTATTGACTAATCAGATAGTCAATGCAAATTGCATTGACTGTTTGTTTAGCCAATTAATCGAAATTTTACATCCCTAGAGTGGAGTAAGATGATCAGAAAGGAGGTTGAGGAGGGCAAGGAGATAGTGGCAGAGAAAAGTGGGATGAGAGATGTTATATGAGTGTAAGGTGCAGTGTGATGAAAGTGGGAGGGAGTTCAATTAAACTGCCATATCAGCATAAAGAAGAGAATGTCCAGAGTAAAAATTGTAGAAAGCAGGTGGGCATATCACTGACGGCATCATAAGTTTGTGATGTGGCTGCTTGATGCTGCTTCTGCTGGCTAATAGTGGATCCTTTGATGAATTTGTCCATCCTAAACTCATGCGAGTGGGGAAGGAGGGAAGAGGCTGAATGGAGTCTAATGTCCATGAAATGCGTTTTTCTCCTGCATAGTTATATCCCCAGTCATATTTGAGTGGCAGAATATCAGCTGGGTGGTTTGGTCTAGCACAGTGTTTCTCAACCAATGGTCTGAGTACCCTTAGGGGTACTCAAGAGAGATCTGGGAGGTATGTCAACACAACTGAAATTTGGAGAAAACTGAATTTTTGTTTTAAGTTTTACAGCGTTTTATTATTTTTGTACTTTTTACATCCAAAAATTCATTGCCTTCCTGGCTACAACTAAGTTGTTTAAACAGATGTGTTGTAATGGTAGACAAAAATTTTATGTCTGAAAACTGTAGGTACTGGGGGTACTGATAATTTTTTGTTTTGAAAAGGGGTACTTTATTAAAAAAGGTTGAGAAAACCTGGTCTAGCAACAGGAATCAGGCTTTGTGGTTAGACACAGAAGTCAAGCCAAGAGTCAGAACCTAAATCAGGAGACCTCATCAGGAGACTTGGCGGTAGGAATCAGGGATAAGACCCAGGATTTGAAGAGCAAGCTGAGATGAGTTCATAATCAAGGGGAGGGCTTCATCATCCTTTTCAAAGTGGAAGGTCAGGCCTAATAGAGTCTCCAAGGTCTCATGGGAACTTTCCCATTCTCACAGGTAGCTACTTGACTTGGGATCAGCAGTAATCTCCCTCATGGGGACTAACACATGAGCTCTTGCAGTAGACTTACAATGGTTCCTGGGATCCATGTGAGACATCCCAAATATGTAGTGTCTCAGTAAGAGTAAAGAAAGGCTTCTTCAGCTGGAGAGGAACCTCAGCATGTCCAGGAATACAGGCAGTCCCCGGGTTACGTACAAGATAGGGACTGTAGGTTTGTTCTTAAGTTGAATTTGTATGTAAGTCGGAACTGGTACATATTGTAGGGGAAACTCTAGCCAAACATTTCTCCAGAGCTCAGTTTTATTCTCCCACACCTCACTTCCCTCAGTCCTTTATTCTCAAGATGAGGTGTCTGCTGAGAAAAGCCACTCTGCGTCTCCCTGGTCTGCTGGGGAGGGGCGCTAGCTTTGCATCTCCTTGGTCTGCTGGGGGGAAGCAGCTAGTGCGGGGTTGCCTCACCCCGTTTGTAAGTAGGGATCTGATGTAAGTCGGATCCATGTAACCCGGGGACTGC